GAATAAGATTCAAAGTTGGCCAACTCCAACAAATAAAACTCAAGTATTAGGATTTTTGGGCACGTGTATATATGTAAGAATGTTTATTCCTAATTTTGGTCATTTGGCAGCACCTTTAAGAAGGCTTACAAGATTAAAAGTGGAGTTTATATGGAGTCAAGAGTGTGAGGATGCTTTTAATTTATTGAAGAAGATTGTTGGGGAAGATATAATATTATCAGCTTTGGATTATAATGAAGAAGCAAGTCCAATTATTCTAGCCGTGGATTCAAGTCATATAGCAGCTGGAGGAGTATTAATGCAAGCGGATGGAAATGGGGAAGTCAGGCCAGTATTCTATGAATCAGAAGTATTTACTGAGGTGGAATCAAGGTATTCTCAACCCAAATTAGAGCTATGTGACGTGGCAAAGATTCTTAAAAAGTTCAGAACAAAGTTATGGGGTCAACATTTTGAATTACAAGTGGATGCAAAGGCTTTAATTCAGATGATTAACACGCCAAGTTTACCTAATGCTGCTATGACAAGATGGGTAGCTTTCATTCAATTATTTTCATTTGATTTAGTTCATAAACATGCTAAAAGCTTTGGAATGCCAGATGGATTATCAAGAAGAATGCGTGGAAGTGATTCAGATTCAGCTGAGAGTTTTAATGAGGAGGATAAAGATATTAAAGTATATGAAAGTTTTAAATTGCAGAATGAGGATTTAACATCAGAAAAAGAGGAGGAAGAGAGTGGAACAATTTGGGCGCAAGAAGGTGTTTGGAAGTATTTACAAGAGTATTTAACAACTTTAAAAAGACCTGAAGGATGCTTGGATGATGAGTTTCAAAGGCTTAAGAATAGAGCTCCTTCTTATTACGTGGAAAATGAAAGATTGAAGAAAAGAGGAGTACCTTATGGAAGATTGGTTGTTTCAAATTTAGAAGGACAAAGGTTTGTTTTAGAGAAATTACATGAGGAATTAGGACATAGAGGAATTGAGGAGACTTATAAAAGATGTTTGGTAAGATTCTGGTGGCCTGAAATGAAGGAATTTGTTAGAGATTGGGTATTGACGTGTGAAATATGTCAGAAGAAAAGTTCAAAGAAAGAAAAAGAAATGGGAAGGGCAACTGGTGAAAGTACTTTATTTGGAAGAGTGAGCTTGGATGCAATTCATATTAAGGCGGGTAATTATAATTATGCTATAATAGCTAGAGATGATTTAACTGGATGGGTAGAAGCTGCACCTTTAAAGAAGTTAACAGCACCTGCAGTGGCCAAATTTATTACTAAAGAATGGTTAATGAGATATGGTTCTGTTAAATGTTTTACTGTGGATGGAGGTTCTGAATTTAAAGGGGTATTTAGAGATGCAATTGCTATGTCAGGATCAAAGTTAGGGGAATCCACGGCATATTGGCCACAGTCAGAAGGAATGGTTGAAAGAGGTCATAAGGATATTAAAGGAGCTTTGGTAAAATTAAGTGATGAGACTGGGACTTCTTGGGAAACATTTCTACCTCAAGTATTATTTGCAGACAGGATTTCCACGAAAAGAACCACTGGATTATCTCCTTATGAGATGTTATTTAATCAACTAGCAATTTTACCCGTGGATTTGGAAGCTGGGACATTTTTAGGTATTGATTGGGATATTATTTACACTGGAGAAGATTTATTAAAAGCAAGAATGGAACAATTATTGGGAAGAGAAGAATTAATTAAGAAGGCTTATGAAAAGATGATGAAGGCAAGAGTAGATGGAATTATATATTGGGACAAGAAAAATGCGCATAGATTAAGAAATCCATTAGAGAAGGGAACTTTGGTATTAACTTATAACAAAAGTTTAGAATTTCAATGGGGAAAATTATTTAAAAATAGATGGAATGGGCCTTATAAGGTAGTTGAACAACATATGGGAGGTGCTTATATTCTAGAAGAGTTAGATGGAACTCAATTATCGCGAAAATATGCTGCTGAACATGTTAAAAGATTTTATCCTAGGGGTGTGGCAATATTAGCAGAAGAAGAGGAGGTGGGCATTGAAGAGGAAGAGGCGCAATTATAAGTATAAATTACCACTAATAATATTATTAATTTCAAAAGATAAAAATATATATAAAAGATTAAAAGAATTAAAAGACCAGAATAAAAATATAAGATAAGATTTAAAAAAAAAAAAAAAAAAGGATATGTTTCACTAGTTATCAGTATAATAATTATATTAAAATTTTAAAAGAAGATTAAAAATGTACAAGTTAAAAGATATAAAAAAAAAATTAAGGAGAAGAAGGGAAAAGGCGTGGATCAAGCCAGCTTGGAAGTTCATAAATAGTAGGAGTATATTCAGAATAATTATAATCAGTATAAGGAGAATTTACAGCGGGAATTACAGGAGGACTATTATTAACATAATTAATTAGAGGAGGTTCAGTATTAGGAGGATTGGTAGAAGGAGTACTGTAGGGGGATAAAATAGCAGCATTTGCACGCTCAGCATGATTAAGGAATGGAATAAAAGTTGCTACAGTCAAACACTCATCTTCACCCCTTCTTGAAACATACTCAGCTATAGAATGTGCACGCAACAAATGATAATGATTATTAATTATGTTTGGAACTTCAAAGCCTGCTTCTTTAAATTGTCTGATTGTATCATCCAGGATCCTCCAAGAATGCCAATTCTGATAAGTTATATAATCAGTTTTCCACGCCAGGTTATGTTCATATAATCTTTCAAAAAATGGATCAGATGTAGTAAAGTTGGTTTCAATTGATGAAGTAATAGAGGGATTAGGGGAATCAGGTGCTGAAGGCGTGTTATTTAAATTAATATTATAAGGGTTAAGGAAATTTATTCTGATAGGAGTATTAGGCGTGTTTGGTGGAGGGTAATTGTTGGCAGGAGAATTAGGTACAGGTGAATTATTGGATGAAGGCGCTGAGGGGTAGGCTATTAAAATTAAATAAAGAAAAGACATTAAAAATTAGTAAAAGAATTAAATAAAAACATTGAAACTTATTATAAAGAAAAGAAGAAAGAAATTGGACTTACAGCATATTATTCCTAGACTATGGCATCTTTGGCAAGCAGGATTGATTTGATAGTGGCAGGAGGAGTTTACCATCCGGCATTGGACACAAGGTGAAGCTACAGAAGGTGAAACAGTGTTGACCATATTGGAAATAAAGGAAAATTCGAGAATTTAGTGATTTGGAGTGTTTAATTGAATTGTTTAATTGATAAACTGGGGGCAGTTTGGAAGAAGAGGAGGATGTGGTGATCAATTTATGGGATCAATTAAAAAATTCACAATTACCAGTTTACCAGTTTATTAGCAGGATTCAGCAGGAAAGAAAATTCGAAATGGAGGTTTTTGATCAATTGTAGCTCTTGTAGGCTTATGTATTGGTCATTAGGTCAACATTACATCATTTTATTTCACATTATATATTAAGATCATTATAGTTTACTTACAAATTTATTACAAAAAGAAAGAAAGAAAAACATAAGAAAAATTCGAAATTATAGGTATAAAGGTTGGAAAATGGTTTTTAGGTTAGTAAAAATAAATTTATGGGTATTATGAGGTTAGAATATGAAAGAACAACATTATATGATACTATGACAATTTTAATCTTCAAGGTTGATAAGTAGAAACAGAAGTTATTAGGAAAAAAGCACTTTTTCGAAGTTGGTAAACAAGAGGTACACGTGTAGTTTGGTTGTGTAATAGTGGTAGTGATGGAATTTAAGGTTGCCAAGAGGATTTTCCGGGATTTTTAAGGCTATAGATGATGATGTAATATTACATGAGCAAGAAAGGCTTAGTAGTAGCTGTGAAAAGTGAAGAAAATGGGTGAAATTCGTGGAAAATGGAGGTTTTCAGCTAATTACATATGTCAAATGACGTCAGAATAGGTTGGTAGATGGCTCATTCAGCGCAGAAGAGTGGATTACATAATGTACAAACTTTAAATCATTAGTAACGGAGGTTTGTGTAAAAAGTTATAAGGCAAATAAAGAATTGGTGTGAATCTCGAATTTACAGTCACAAGTCATATGTAACACTAAAAACCTTAACTTCACAACTCAATATCTTACTCATCACTCATCAGAAGTAGGTCATGTAGGTGTCAGAAATGATCAGTAACACGTGGACTACAAGATGCACTTTAGTAATCAAAAATTGGAGCACATCTGAAAAAATTCGTAATCTCAAAAATTGGTTTTCAGCTAGTTTACAAGGAAAAAATCACCTGTATTCATCATAAGAAGTGCTGTACATCATATTATTGCGTCATTGATCACTTTTAGCTGTGAAAATTACATCATTTATTAGTAACAAAACCATTACATTGCGTCATCATAGGGTTTTTAGGGAATTTTGGGCGGATTTGATTGGTTTTGAGGCTGTTGACCATTGTAAAAGTTCTAGTACATTGTTATATATACTTTGAGAGGGTTTTGGGACTGTTGTTCCCCTTTTTTTTCTTTATCATTTACGCCATTATTATTTTGTTTATCATCATAAACTTATTTTAATAGTACCTGTTCACTTAAATACGCCCTTTATTACAGTTATAAAGAGAAATTTACTTTAGTTTTATAGTCATAAAGACTTATTGGGAATAATATCAATCAGATATTGCTTATTTTTTTTCAGTTATCAATTGGGAATAACACTATAGCAGTGTTGATAGTAATACAAAGTGTGCTTTTGAAGTTAAAATTACGTGTGAAGTTATATTTCTCTGGTGCCTTATCAGTACTCAATACAACAGAGCTCTTTCTGATTGTGTTGTTTTAGAAGAGCAGTCCTTAGACAACTTCTACTAGTCATTTTATTAGTAGATTATCCTCTTCCAGCTCTGTATAACCCTTGTTGGGTTATAAGTTCTACAACGTGAGGAAGCGTGTAATGCTTTCGCTGGATGAAAGGGTGTCAGCAGCGGCAGTGGGTAAAGAAGATGGTGAGTACTGACGCTCTTTCTTCAGAACTAAGAAGTCATGCGACGGGAACACCACTGCTGGTGACGGGGTTGCGTATAATGAGTGTAAGGAGCATGAGTTTCACCGTTGGCCACTCGGGGATGTTGTTGCAGACATTGTGTGTTGAATCAAAGCAGATGACGCCTTTGCCGTGTAATAGTAACTGCTGTCTTTGCCAGGGGGATATGAGTCCGATTTGGATTCTTTTGTGACTGGGGCGTATGTCGTTGTGAACCGAGTAACCGCGGTCGGTTAGTCTTTGACACCACTTCATAAGAGAAGGGATGATACTGGGATCGAGACGTTGAATGCTTTTGGAGGCGTTACGGACTACGTTGCGAAAATTGGCGTAGGTAACTCGTAAGGCCTTGGGGATGACGGACAGGGTGCGATGTTCGTCCTGGCCATTCGAATAATGTCAATAAATGAGGCTGTGGGACTAGGGAAAAGGGATGTAACAAACGGGGAATAGGTCTGGACAACGCAGGAGGCGCTGAATAGTGCGCCAGGTGAGTCCTTCAAGGATGCGATCATTGAGCCAGGATTTAACTACCTGAGGCATATGCATGTTACGCATGTCCTCGACGGAGAACGGGTTGTGGTTCTCATGTTTCCAATACCATTCAAACTCCATCTTGCCGGTTAATGTTTTCTTGAGGAGAAAGCAAGCTGGGCACTGGACTTTGATGGAGCCGGATGATTGGCGTGCAAGTTCGGTGAGAGTACTTTTCTTTTGAGTACAAGGATTGCCTGACGCATTGCAATTGTAGATCTCAGTCCAGAGGTGCATGCGTTTAGGACCTCTCTTATTGGAAGCGGGAGGTTTCGGCGCTTTGACTTCGCCAGAGGGTAAGTGCAGAGTCCCATTGAAGCGGCGGCCTTTAGTGACCCAACGTGAGGATGTGCACATAGCGAAGACGAGTTCATTTTCAATTCCGGCCTTCTTGGGTAAGGTGATACGTAGTGGGTGTCTATCGCCGAAGTCAGGTGGGTTGCAAGACACATCTCTAACATAACGAAGAGAATTTGGATTGAAGTCGAAACCCGGTGTTGGTGGTGCAAGATAGGCCAAAGGCAGCGGCACAAAATCGTGAATGTCGGTGCAACAAGGGTACCAATCAAGACCACTCCGGATGGTACGGCTGTGACGAGTACGGGGGCGAGGTTGAAGTTTGAGGTAATCTCCAGCTGGCTTCGAACGGCTCGTAGCGCGAGGCTTGTGAGGCTGCATCGTCGTCGTGCGCTGTGCGTCGTAAGGCAAGTTGGGCCAGAGTCAGATTTCTCAGAGAAGTACAAGTTCCTCTGCTCGCTATCGTTGACATACCCTGCCTTTTCATGCGTGAAAGCGGCCTTGGTGCCAATCTTTGCTCCATACGCGACCTTTGCAGGTAGGATACTTTTAAGCCTCGCATCCGTCAATGGCAATGATTGCCGCTGCCGCTTTTCCGTCATAATCAGTTACGCGGAGCGCAAGAAATCCTCGCGTGGATGGATTCCGCGAAAATGCGAGCTCGAATGAAAATTATTTGCATGCTATTAGCCAAACTTATGCCTTGCGCTATAGCTGAGGCCTGGTAATTGTCATAAGCGGACATTATCGCCACGCCTTTCCATTGCGAATTCATGCTCCTCCTTACGAAGACGTCCTTCGCCAATTGTTTAATTTTGGTCGTCGAAGCCAGGGGTCTCCGGCGTATGCGGTCCCGTTGGTTGAGATGTGAACCTTGATATTCATTAAATCGACATTTGGCTCAGTCATCATCTTTCTCCTTATGCAGGGAAGTCGTACTCACCGCCGTTTGCCTTTCACGCCTCGCGGCTCAGCGGATAGACAAGCTTTGCAAAAACAAATCACTTTTTGCGGCACACGCCCGGTATATAGCCCCGCTTCGCGGTGCTCGGGTCAATAGGAACCGCATCTCGCGCGGCGTCTATCCGGAGGCAATGAGTTCAAACTTTTCTCAGAATGACACCGTCTGACGGTCATGAACTCGTCAAGTTGTCAATTCAAATCATTTGAAAACAATTCGGCCCAAAACGATATTTACACCACAGAGGTGTCTTGGCCGGCTACAGGCGGCCATGTCAGGCCAGCCGCAGACCGCCAGCGCTTGCATAGGGGCAGGCCGTCTGCAGATGGCCCTCACGCAAGACGTCTGCCAGGCGCCTGCTGGCCTTGCCTGCAGGCCACCTGGATTTCGCCTGCAGACCGGCTGTAATCCGGCTTTCGACGGCCAGCTGGCTTGATGGCCCGACACAATTGCCGTTTTTTTAGCCCTTTGACTCGCTTTCCCGGTCATTTGCAGGCATTCGGATGTTGGTCGGGTGGGCTCAGCTCAGCTCAGGGCACACAAATTTGACAAATCAAACACTTGATTTCACAGTCACAGTCCGTTATCTACAAGTCAGATACAACATTTCTAATACAAGCCTGATGAGAGAGGGGAGCTCCAGAACGCAAAAGAAAAGAACAAATTTTGAAGAAGAACCAATCCACAACAACATATTGTAATACTAATAATGTTGCATTAGTTTTGTCATTTCAAGATTAGTTTCCAAAACGATCATTTGAATGGATTGGCCATTCACTTCTGGCTTCTACGTTGCGGTATTTAAAGATTAATTTTTAATACTATCATAAAACCCACGATGATGAACACCGGAAAAGGCAGAGGAAACTACCCACAAGGTTGAGATGACAATCACTACTGCTATAGATAAAGGAGACTATGATGTTGAGGTAGGTGGGTTCTTGATGGGTGTTGATAAAAGGTGAGTAGTTGTCAATTGAGGCGATAAAATCAAGCCCACAGTAATGAAGCGTTTTGCGGTCTTGCATGACTGAATCGACATACGAGAAGGGCAAGGACATGAGCAAGGTTCAGAGCTATGTAAGACACACATTCACTAGAAGAAGAAAGACAATAACTTACCAATTGAATCGACTGATAGCTGATGTTAGGAATGATAATAGCACCAATCAGCAAACACCCAATCACAGAAGAATAAGGTTTGACTTACCGACTTTGCCAAATTGATTCAAAGCCTGGGTGAGGCTGTTTGTGTCGGTATACCAGGCAACGCTACCAACAAAGAGCCTGTTACCAGCAGAAATGATATTTGAAGAGAAAGTTGACTACAGTCTACCAGGCTGAAGGTTGTGTTTGCCGTGCAATTTTGTGTGCCGATGGATCATGCGGAATGGAAGGATTGCCAGGGTCAACCGTTTGACTGTAGTGTGAAAGGAGTGACTGATCAATCTTTGTAAGCGTTCATGTAAAGGAAGCAAGAGAGGAAGAGCAGGCACTTAGTGAGATTGAAGGATGAATCCAAATGTTCTAGACCACGATGAGGTTGGATTGAGCTGTCTCCTTTTTGGAGTGGAAAAAGGACTTTGAAAGTTTTTTGTTTTCAAATAGGAGGTCAGGGATGATCGTGTGACATTTGACCAGACAGATCTCTCAAGTTGCGGACTTTGCAAAGTCCACAACTTGAGCACCGTTTGTGGCAGCCGACTGGAGGCGGTCTATTGGCCATTTTCAGGCTGACTTCCGGTCGGACTGAGCCGCATGAAGGATGCCCGGCAACTGGCCGCCTATCGATGGCCTGCAGGCCGCTCCTCAGTCTTAATTTTGGACAGATTTGCATGGCGAAGGTATGCCCAACTGCAGGCCGTCTATAGATGGCCTGCAGTCAGTCTTCACACTGCCAGCATTAAAGAGGTTCCCAGATGGGAATATGGGTCCTAGTGATCACATTCCCATCCTGCTACTGTTACACAGCTCCATGAATATTTCCTGAGTAGCCATTGTGATATATGTAGTCAATATTTTGAGATGTGTGGCTCAATCTGAACAAACTTACAGCATGTATTACACATGAACTTCTTATCTAGATGAGCAGATAACTGAGCGGACCTGTATGTAGCTGATAGCTGAGCATTTACTCAGATGTTTGCACATATGTAGTGTATGCTTTATGGCTCAGATGTGCAGTGCAAGATGATTTGATGCACCATTCTTCTCTCAATGATATTCCCAGACTAGGTCATGTTCCGACCAGGGAACATATTTAATGCTGGCAGTGTCAGGCCGTTTTCTGACCTGACCATTCTCAGACAGTGTCAGGCCAATTTCTGACAAAAGACCCTCCCGTGGTGTACAATTCTATTCTCTGGCACATCCATAAAGAGATCTGCGTTAGTTCTTTTGAAGCATGCGGCTAGAATAGTTTCAGGCATCGTGGACCGTTTTGACTTGTATGTGGATATCAAACTAAGAAGTTTATATTACTATATATAAATCACTAACATGACAGTATGACTTGTGGTTTGTGGCTAGCAATGGCATCACAGTCTCCAACTCACAATCGGGACCTGATCTTTACTCGAGTGTCATGGTTTGATATGGGCTCTTCCTCCATGAACTCATCAGGTGCGCGAGTTGGTGAGTGTTGCAATCGATTTAATGATATCCGTAGTAATGTTCGAAGGCCTTGACATTTGAATCTCTGACGAGGTCGGGAATTTGTCTAAGAGCCAAATCCTGAGCATCCTTGTGACTAATTGCTCCAGTACGTATCAATTCCAACACCAGGGTCCCTCGGGCCGCTTTGACTTTGAGGTCCATCTCACGCCACTTGAGGTTCAACCCATCCTGCATGATATGATGCTTCAGCTCAGCTTCCTTAATGGGCTTCATAGGCATCTTGTATATGGGATCCAAAGAGAGTTTATCAACTACATATTTAGAATGTAACGGCTCATGCCATTGCAGTCAAAGGTTTGCTCGACATACCTTGGCTCCCAAGTTTCGAGATGGCTAAAAGTTAACTTGAAGACGAGACTGTCGAAGATGAGATGTGCGTGTTCAATGGTTTTTGCTGTTATCGCAGGAGATAGAGTAAGCTTTATGTTATCTCGTTTCAGGTCAGCGGTCACGGATGATAAGCAATATTGGAAAAGAAGTGTTCTAACCTGTTATCGCGTAAGTTCTCCTTTTCTTAATTCGGATTGGTTACGATGCTGGTTGATGAGTCATCAAATATTCCGTTCGGAGAGCAACTAAACTCACGGTTTTGGCTAATTGGGAGATCCAGCCATATGACATGATCTTATGGCTTCACATTTGGACTCTATAATCGCATGCTTTCATGCGATAATGCAGGATCCACATCATGCGCCATTACACAGGCTGTATATGTACATGCATATATGGCTTACTTCGAGTCATCCCATGAGTATACTACGGCTTCTGCAGAGGCCAGAGGGGGTTTTGCACACGAAATCAGGACTGGACGCCAAAAAGATCTGTAATGAGCTGGAGGGGGCAAGAATGGCAAATCAAAACCAGCGTCAACAAGACAAGGTGCAAGAGGACTTTTCTCGACTTGAAACATCTATCGGGCTGTTGGAAGCAGACATCGCTCGTCTTGAGGCTGATTTCATGGAAGCCACAGAAGACTGAGACTCTCGCCTTTGTTCATGGATATCTAGTACCTTCAAGACTGACCTTAAACTTTCACAGAGGCCTGACTTGCCTTGATCTCTGGCGGAGCAAAGATATATCACAGAAAACATCACGGAGGTACATTAGCAAGATTGGTTGATTCGGTTTTTGGGGGTCCTGTCAAAGGAGAATCTCAGCCGCCGTCAGTGGTGTTGGAGCCTGACACAACCATAGAAAGATGTTGGTAAATGGCTGGACAGAAAGGAACTCTTGGCATTTATTTGGCTCGAGAAATCATTGTTGACAAATTGGGTATTGAACACACAGATCCCAGTATGGCATTTGAGTTCCACTACTACTAGGGTGGGATGAAGGTTTTGCCAAAGGACATCTCATACTCTTGACTATGAGAAGTGTTATTTCAATTCTTTCATGTATTACAAACAACCTAGGAGAATAACCTCATAGGTTTATTGTGACCTCCTAGGTAGCTCACAAACTATAATTATAATTTATAGGAACTACTTTTGGGGGTGTGGGGGTGGCCCCAGTAGGGCTACTCGGGTATTGGCAAGAGGTTAAATACCACATATCCAAGCATCCCTGCTGGGGCAATCACAATATTCCTTTTGGGGGCTTCTCATCCGGAAGGTGGGTGGAAAGAAAGAAAGAGAGGAAAAAGGAATAGGAGTCCTCAAACAACTCCACTAAAATAAGGTGGTGGTCTAGAGGTGGTGGAGATATGAGTGGTGAAATGGAGTTAAATATTTTAATCCATTTGTGT